ACTAGGTGGTAGAACTTCTTTTCTGCCTAGAAGTCTGTCTGGGTATATATCATCCTCTTAACTATTTCTGGCACCAAGCAGCAGCATGTGTCCCAGCCTGAAGGACATCCTGAGAGCCACTATAATAACAGGCTGCGAAGCATTACATCTTAGTCCTCAAAGGTAGAAAGAAAGCCTTTGCTTGAAGTCCATTGCAGGTGCCAGTAGTCACTTACCGATGGATGGTTTGTATGTTTGTTTGATTCTTTAATATTATAAAAAGATGATGTTGATGCAGAGAATTATTGTAGCCATTGATTATTGAGTTATTTACCATATTTATGACGAAGTTTCATATTTTCAGATGGATGAGGATGAGGAGCCCATAATTGTCTGTTTCACCTGTCATGCAAGACTCATTCGTTGCAGAAGACTACAACAACAGGCTATTGAGTCAAATGCAGTTCTGGAGCAGTTGCTTGCAGGAGGGTCCACGGTATTATCCGTTCAATCCATTACAACCTGTAAAAGTCAACTGAACATAGGTCTCCTACATAGATTGCCTGATAGGGGGGATTTTGCCATATTTGCCTCGCTTGGCAGGTTGGCAACAGCAGTTTTTATTAATTTGTTATCAGGGAGATGCTAATCACTGCTGTAATGCTGGTGTTATACCTGGCATTTTGTTAGTTGTTTCCATTTCTGGTTCACACATTTTGCCAAAGAGGTGCTTATGGCAAGGTTCACAATCTTTAACAACATAATGAGATAAGTGTACCTCACAGCTTAAAGAACTGTGTAGATGAATTTCATTTAGGAGTAATCAGAAAGATGCTGCTGCGCATCTCCTGTTTTAGTTTTTCTCTGTTCACTATTACGACAGCCACGGGAGTACATGATAGTGGATATTCTTACTGAGCCACCACACAGTCCATGGTATTATATTACTTTTTATTAATCAGCTTGTAAACATTCACTGCTTGATGGGTCTCTCCTATTATAATGTAGTATTTGCCTTTATCACCACTCTTGGCAGACACCTTGATCATCACTCTACCTGTCTCCAATATTAAATATTACCTATAGGTAATATTTAATTTTTAATAAGCGATTATATAATTATTTTTGTGAAAGTAAGTACTTACTTAACTTACTGAAATTCATATATTATAGATGAGGTAAGCACTGAACATTGTTCTAACGAAAAAATAAGTTGGATTCAAGAACAAACTTAACTTGGTAGTAGAAAAACTTTTTCCAATATTGCAACAATTAGCAACAAAGGCACGAGACAGGTAGAGATTTGTCCCTTTTTACAAGATATGTGGGATGATATGGTATAGGGTAGTATGGATTCACCTACACCACCACTACACTGGTTTTATTCTCTTATTTAAAAATAATTTGGTTTCAGTCAATACCAAAACCGCATGAGGCTAGAGATGAGATTCAATTCACACCAATTTGTCATATAGATATCAGGCCAGAAGAGTGTGATGTAGAAAATAAATCTGAAATTTTTATTTTTGATTCCATTAAAGTTGAGGAAAAGAATTTCGAAAATGAGATTTACAAATTTGAAGAAAATGAAAATCATGATGCAGGTAAGATATACACATTTTGTGATATTATTAAAATAAGGTACAGTTTACTAAATGGCAAGTTTTTTTTTACTTATGTATTAATATATTTCAAAAATATTTTAACCCTGTATAGATGCAGCCAATATGTATGTTACTAAGATATATTAATTACATAGGAATTAATGATATGCTAACAACTGGTAAGCAATCATCTATCTGTCAAATTTCCTAGTGTCATTATTAGGTGGCCGCCGATAGGTAAAAGTAGTCTTACATGCTACCTCGAATATTTGAACTATTTTTTTTTTATAAGATAAGGCTGACAAACGAGCACACAGTCCACCTGATGTTAAGTGGTTGCTGTGGCCCATAGACATCTACATCTATCCTCGTTTGTGAATCAAAATGCAGATGCGTTGTCACCCGTGAGGACTAAGATGGAATGCCTCATTTCCAGTAACAAGGGCCTCCGGCCACCTGCACTCACCAAGCGAAACGCAGAGGTAAACCTCTACTTCACGTTGATATTCTGTGAGGTCGTGGTACCACCCCGGTTCGAACCAGCCCATCCGTGCGACAGCAAAAGCCGCCGCGTGGCTCTACCACTGTTAAACTAGTAACTAATAGAAGCTGCTACTGTTTTCTCTCGGTTCTCATCAGGCGGCTAACGTTTATGCGTCGTTTGCACAATTTTGTCACACAATTTTGAAATGTTATTGATAATAATATGTATAAAAGTAGAATTGCACTGTTTCATTTACAATTAAATATCTTAATTCATAACGATTCGATACGCTAAAGTTATATAAATAGCTGGCACATAAAATTAAAAATATGTAATTTGTTACATAGGGCCTGCCAGTATCTGGCGACCTTCCGTACAGGCCCGGACGTTTGGCTGTGTTTTGTATGTGAGTGTGAGTGTAGAGAAACCATTTCCGTGGAATCGAGGCATCCCATCTTAGTCCTCAGAGGTACAACGCAATTTGAATCTTAACCGAGGAAAGATGTAGATCTCTATGGGCACAGCATTCACTTACCATCAGGTTGACTGTGTGCTCGTTTTTCACCCTTATCCTATAACAAAAATCTTAAAACCTATCCGTTGGGACACACTATTGAGGTCATCGAGCATAGTGCTTAGGTTGTCCAGCGATTGTGCCAAAGAACTATTTCGTCAGCAAATCGAAGGTGAGTGATATACTCGTAACTGACGTTAATAGTATATCCTTTCCAGTCCAGTAGCTTGAAAACGTCTTCCAATCTTATTCCATAAAAAAATGTCACAAAAAATAACGAAATAATAACGAATAAAAACGAGTAAATTTTGAGACGCCGTGTGTCCGTTTTATTAGTCCAATGCCTGACAGAGTCCCTCGTGCGGGAAAAAATCCCGCTCATTGCTAACACTGCACGGGGCAAAGAGGGTGATAAAACCATGGCGACCCCTGGCACGCTAGTCGTGGAATTCTGCAACATAAGGGGACTTTTCACTCGAACCTTAACGCCGTCCACTAATATCTGGAGACGACGAAGCCGGGTTTGCTCTTTTTGACCAAGACGCAGGTGTCCTCTCCGGCTGATACTTCGTACCTGTCCTAACCGAGATACAAATTAGAATACTTCGTTGTGCCCCCGGCTGGAAATTACTGTTCTCATTGCCTCGGTAGTCTTGAAGGTACGGACCTGCGACCTAGCCATTTTCTGGCTGCGCGTAGACAGCGACAACTATCCCCGCGTCTACGGGTGCCTCTATAAGTCCCACTGCAGTAATGCCGACACAGACCGACTCATCGATCACGTCCAAATGGCTACAGATTCCATGCTTCAACAGACCCTATCCGCAGAGATCGTGATACTTGGCGATTTTAACGCCCACTACTCAGAATGTCTCCATTCATGTTAAACCGATTATGCGGGGAGATCTGTTCATGTCTCTGCCTTGGCATATGGTCTGACACGACTGGTTACTTCGCCTATGCGGATTCCGGATGTGGAGGATCACGCACCTTCCCTGTTGGACCTTCTGCTAACATCATCCGGATGGATATCAGATTTCCGTCGATGCCCCTCTCGTGACTCTTTGGACCATTGTTTAATCCGGAGTCTGGTGTCACTCATGCTCCTTTTACAGTTATGTTCTGCTCGCTGCCGCCGTGCTAAGCATTACTGGTCGGCGGATTGGTACAAAATGCGATCATTCTTTGCGCCATATCCATGGGGGCTTGCTTTTCGCCGGATTATCCCAGAGCTGTTGCTGATTCTGTCACTGATGTGGTACTTCAGGGAATGGAACTATTTAGTCCATCATCTGTGGTAACCATCGGAGACAGATCTCAGCGTTGGTTTGATCGCTCCTGTAAGACTGGATTATGCAGTAAAACCAGCATCATTTAAAAGAAGTATAACTTCGCCTCCAGGTCCTTCAAAAGAGTTATTGCAAAGGCAAAGTATGAGAATATTGTCGAGAAATTAGTTCGCCTTCCTTCGGTAACTGAATACTCTGAATATTTTACCCTGGCGTAAATAAGATGGTACACCTCCATCATTTGTGAGCGTCAGTATTATACATACGAACATAAAAATGTGTGTATGTATAACACTAGTTCTGTGTGGGATTCGAAACAGTGATTACTAGATTAATGTCATTATAACACTGTCAGAAGAATGTCATCATTTTCATATGTATTAAGTTTTTTTACAATTATTTCCCTCCAAAAATGAATATGAGAGACATCATTCAGAGTAATTGGCTAAAATACTTTATATCTAGCAACATTATTTTGTATACTTATGTAAAATATTATAATTTCTCTATCTCTCTCCCTGGGTTACCAGGTAACCCAGGCATAAACTCCGCCCATTGTAAACCGTTTATGATTTCTTATAATAAAGATGCAATGTCTTACAATAAATAAAATGTTTAATTCGTGTTCTATTTCAGAAGAATACATCACACCGACAAATATTTTTTTAGAACCGTCTGAGAAAATAATTAAATCAAATTCTACTGATAGTGACATAAACGATGTACGTAAAGAAAACCTTGATATTGAAAGGCCTACTATTAAATCAAACCCTAAAGTGAAAAAAATTAATCAACCAAATCATAAAAAAGGAAAGAATATAAAAAAGAAAATTTTGAAACGAGAGACTGTAAATATACTTACGAAAAAATCAACAAAAGACATTCTCGCCAAACACATTTCATGCAGCCATAAGACGCAAAAGAACTCGGACACCACTACAGTTCAGACACAAAGTGAACAAACTCCAGTAACACAACTAACGGAAATATTTAATTGTGATATTTGCGAATTTAAAACATCTCAAAAACGTTGCATTTTGGCACATCTTAAAGCGCACGTCGCTAAACAAGTGTACTGTTGTAATAATTGTGATTATAAAAGTATTGAAAAAAGTAATTTGCAAACACATATGAAAATACATACCGGAGAAAAACCTTATTCGTGTAATATCTGTGAATTTAAATGTATTGTAAAAAGTAGTTTGCAAACACATATGAAAGTACATACTAGAGAAAAACTTTATTCGTGTAATATCTGTGAATTTAAATGTATTCAAAGAAGTAATTTCCAAACACATATGAAAATACATACCGGAGAAAAACCTTTTTCGTGTAATATCTGTGAATTTAAAAGTATTAGAAAAGCGCAGTTACAAAATCATTTAAGAACACACACTGGAGAAAAGCCTTTTTCGTGTAATATCTGTGGATTGAGATATATTGCTAAAAGTAGTTTGCAAAGGCATTTGGAAATACATACCGGAGAAAAACCTTTTTCGTGTAATATCTGTGAATTTAGATGTATAAGAAAATATCTGCTGCAAAAGCATTTAAAAATACACACTGGAGAAAAACCTTTTTCGTGTAATATCTGTCAATTTAGATGTATAAGAAAAGTACAGTTGCAAAATCATTTAATAATACACACTGGGGAAAAAAAATTTTCGTGTAATATGTGTGAATTTAGATGTAGTGCAAAAAGTTACTTGCAAAAACATTTGAAAATACATACCGGAGAAAAACCTTTTTCGTGTAATATCTGTGAATTTAGATTTAAAAGAAAAGATATGTTGAAAATTCATTTAATAACACACACTGGAGAAAAACCTTTTTCGTGTAATATCTGTGAATTTAGATGTAATAGAAAAAGAAATTTAAAAATGCATATGAAAATACACACTGGAGAAAAACCTTTTTCGTGTAACATCTGTAAATTTAGGTGTAATAAAAAAGGAGGTTTGCAAAGGCACATGAAAATACATACCGGAGAAACACCTTTTTCGTGTAATATCTGTGAATTTAGATGTATAAGAAAAGATCACTTGCAAAATCATTTAAAAATACATACTGGAGAAAAACCTTTTTCGTGTAACATCTGTGAATTTAGATGTAATAGAAAAGGAACTTTGCAAAGGCATATGAAAATACATACCGGAGAAACCCCTTTTTCGTGTATTATCTGTGAATTTAGGTGTAATGCAAAAGTTGTTTTGCAAAATCATTTAAAAATACACCTTGGAGAAAAATCTTTTTTGTGAGAGATCTGGTAAAATAGGTACATATTATGTAAACGTTTTTTATGTATAAATATAAGTGTTTCAGATAAAACTCTATTTTTATGAATTTATAGAGCGAGTAGAAAAACCTTTCTGTGCTATATGCGGTAATTGAAACTGCATTTATTTTGAAGAAGCTAATAAAAAAATAAAAAAAATATGCTTAAAATATAAACCGAGGAAGTGAAAACTGACCAGACCTTCATGTCCATGCCTTTAATAAGGAATTATTATTATATTATTACTTGGAGCATTTAAGGAGCAATTAATTGGCATACAGTTTAATTTAAAAAAATAGATATTTTATGTTTTATAGCAAAATTAAATTTTCGATACTTAATTTTTTTTTTAATTAATTATAAATTAACTAATATCAATAGAGGTGGAGCAATTTCGGATTCTGCTGGAGCATTTAACAGTTTAATTTTAAAAAAAAATGTTCTACGCTAACTTCCTTCTGGTAAAGATTTAGGACTTTTTGTAACAATTTATTTAAAAAGTAAAAGTATAATTATCTTACAAAATTACTGGAAGAGTCTGATAGAGATGTAAAAGATATTGCGTTTATATCCAAACACCATGAATCTTCATCAGAATTATGACAAAATAAATCCTCAGCCGACAAAATAAATATTTTCCGTGTAGTGGCGGGTAAGAATACCCACTACCCATATCTTCCCGTGGGTGTCGTAAAAGGCGACAGAGGGAAATTGAGGCAGAAGATAGGCAGCAGCATATTTCTAATGACAGCAAAAAACTAAAAAACTGCGGTTGCCAACCCTGGTGGAAACAATGACAATATACTTCTCATGAGCAAAATAAGCGGCCCCCAGTCCACGGCAGCCCCGCTATACCTGGCTACAGTGGCGACCATGATAACGGCGAGGCAGGGGGTGCTAAGAATCTCCGGTGGAGGTTCGGTTGCCACCTACGACGACTCAACCTGGCAACATATAATTCACGCACCCTGTGGACTGACGAGAAGTTCCCGGAGCTGGAAGAAGGGATAGTTAAGTTGCGCTGGGATATTACAGGGTTATCTGAGGTTCGAAGATAGGGGAGGACACGGTAATCCTCGAATCCGGCAACTTGTTCTATTACCGGAAGGGCGACCATCTTTTTTTTTACGGGGGAAATCCTCAAGGACTACCTCCACCTGGAGAAAGGCGGAGGGGCGTGCCGGACTCTTACCGGCTAAAACCATCCCGGTGTCTCCTCGCATGTGCGCGCGGGGCCGCGGGAATCCCAAATTCTTTTGCAGCCCCACACTAGTGCTGGCCCGGTCTGTCCGGGCCTCGTCTCCTGCACGGGGTAGTGAGGTGTTCAAGTACCCCGTGTATCGCCTCCGCCTCGGGTCCATCGAATAGGGAGGGCGGGGGCTTCCCCAAGTTCCTAGCCCCTGGACCCATTCATAGGGGCCGGAAAAGGGCGTTGTCCGCCCTTCTCCTGCGCCCGGTGCGCTTACTGCGGCCACGGAAGGGAGTCGAGATCTCCCTCTCCCGTTCCGCAGTTTCCTTCTGCGACATCACGTCCTCGCAGAATGACACCACCGCGTCCCACGGCTCTGCGCTACCGACCATCCTTCGCACTCAGAATCACCAAACGGTATTCGCTGAATGTCATACAGGCTTACGCACCAACCTCGGCATATCCCGATGAGGAGGTGGAGGAAATGTATGAGGATATCTCTAGAGCCATGCATTCCTATAAACCCACTATACGGTGTTAATGGGAGACTTCAACTCAAAACTAGGCACAAGAGAGAACGGTGAGCTGAAAGTAGGGAAATTCGGAATAAGGCAACCGAACCCAAGGGGCCAGCAGCTGGCCGACTTTATGGAGAAAGAAGGACTCTTTATGATAAACTCTCTTCCAAAAGCGGCCTAACAGAAAATGGACTTGGTCGAGCCCCGACTGTTCGACAAAAAATGAGATTGACTTCATTATGACGACCAGACGACAACTGTTCAGTGATGTCTCAGTGATCGCGAGGGTGAAAACTGGCAGCAATCACCGAATGATGAGAGGCACACTGAACCTAAACGTTGGAGAGGTTATGTCTAATGAAGTCCCACTCGTCCTCTAATCCACAATCCCGAAAACTTTCAGCTCTAGTTACAAAGTCGTTTTCAGTGCCTAGAAGATTGCAATGAAGTCGACGATATAAATAGTTTACGTTTACGCTCGTGTAAACTATCTGCGGTCGGAGCTAATTTCTGTAAGACCAGTCGCAGAAGAACACAGGCTTTTAGACCGGAGACGAAACTGCAGTCTTTAGCAGAGACAGCATACAGGCAACTGAATAGACGAATCACCAAATGCATGCGGCGGGACTTGCGCAACTTCAACACAGCTCGTATTGAAGAAATGATCGAGCGGAACCAGGGCTCCCAGTCTTTGCTATAGATTTGTGTGACAGAAAAAGCCAACTGTCGAACCTTAAGAACGAATTTGGCAGCATCGTTTCCGGGACATCTGAGTAAGATTTTGAGAAAGATTGAGCGGTTCTGTGAGCAGCTGTACACGTCTTCGTTGGAGCCACACGCAAGTGTGAGTAACGATCCAAGAGCAAGTCTTATCCGACACTATTCCTTATATTGTCTTATTGGCAGCAGATAAAATAGCGTTTTTAAAAGTAGAATACACCTGAAGAACATTCTCTTTCTGAACCGGAGGAAGGGGCTGAAAGTTCTTCTTCTAGAACTGTGGAATACAGATGCCAGTTTGCTTTGGATGTGTTATATTGATAACAATAGGAAAATCATCACTGCCATGGGAAATGGGTAATATTCTCCAAGAAAGAAGGGACGACAGCGCAGGAGAACAGAGTGACAGATCTACTGCATTTTTAGGATTTCGGAGTGGGGAAACTCTACGTGTAGGTGAACCATCGTTAAGGAGGCAGAGATCTAAATCATCAATGATGTCTAAAAATGTAGAAGACCAGGGATCACAAAAATGGGAGCCCCATAAAGTATGGTGCATATTAAAATCACCAAGAATTACCATAGGAGGAGGGATGGAGGATAAAATCCTCGTAAGTTCTGATAAGATATTTAGACTAGGTCGGGTATGTAAATAGAAAGAGAAGAAATGTTATGACCTCTAACTGCTACGGCATTAATTGAAGGACTATGAGAAGGAAGGGAAATTAATGAATAAGTAATTGATTTTGAGATAAGAATGAAAGAGCCAGTATGACCATCACTCCTATCATCCCTGAGGCATGAATAACCTGAAACCCTAAAATGGGACCCAGGCTTTAGCCATGTCTCTTGGATGGCTAGGATGAGGGGATGGTATTTATTAATAAGATAGGTTAGTTCGTTTTTCTTATTTTTAATGCTCCGGCAGTTCCACTGAAGTATTGGAGGTAAGGAAATGAGCTCAGTAAGTTTTTGACGGAAGGCAAGTAGGAGATCCATGTCGCTGAAACGGGAAATCATACTTATAAGCATGGATACCATTAATTCGCAGAGATTGTCATTAGGGGAAATACTCCGACCTATTAAAGCACAACCATTAGTAGATGAAGAAGAAGGGTTATCTATTGTTGCCTCATGGGCAGATTTATCATATCCATGACTTGATGCTGGATTTAGCGGAAGTCTTGGAGTGAATGTAGTCTTCCTGTAAGAATGAGATTGTGAGGAGACAACTGAAGGTAAAGGGGGATTTGAAATAGGATAGGAAATCTGATGCTCATACGAAGGAAGGGTTCTAACAGTATATGCATAAGATCTACGGACTTGAGGGAGATGGGCAGATGCTTCTAGATAGGAAATATTTTCCTGTGACATTGTAAATTTGATAGATCTCTGCCTAGAGTGTTCAGGGCAGGAAGAATCTTTAGCTGTGTGAGATCCTGAACAAAATAGGCTAGTGGGAGACTGTCTTGTGACTGATATACCCTCATGATTTTGAGCACACACAAAACAACGGGAAGATGACCTACACTGTGAGGTAACATGTCCAAAACGGCAACATTTGTGACATTGAATAAGTGGTAAAATGTAGGGCTCAACAGGCATTGAGTTGTAAAAACAATAAATGTTAGAAAGAAGTTTCTGGCCGGAAAAAGTTAAAAGGACTGTTTGAGAGGGAATCTACACAGTGCTTTGGTTTTCAATAACTGATTTTCTATTAAATCGGCGAGCTTTAATGACTGAGCCAAAACCAGCTGGGACCTCGATCGATGAAATGAGTTCCTCAATGTCCATTCTACAGGAACCTGCCTCACTATTCCCATGCGAGTGATATTATAAGAAGGGATTACAGTATCATATTTAGCACCTGCAAGGGCTGGGTTCTCAATAAAGCAATTTGCATCAGCTGCACTTTTAAATTCGACTGAAATTCTATTGCGCCCTACTCGCTTAACACCGTCGCAAACAACATTTTTAATATTATTATAGTAGAGAAAATGACCAAACTTTATCGGTTTTAAAACTTCTCCAGATGATAAATCATCTACTATCTTACTTACATGTACAATAAAGGGCGCACTGTCGTTATTAGAGTATTTATGTTTTTTTTTTCTATATAGTCAGGATGGGTATAAGAGGTCTGAATAGATGGTACAGGTTGAGATGGATCTGTAATTAATCTTTTCTGTAGATGAACTGAGTTATTGGTTGCTTGCGATCTTTTACGATTTGACTGATCAATCTCGATAGGCATATGTTTTTCTTTTGGTACCCGTGTGGGAGTCACATGGGAGGATCTTCCTCCATTTTATTTTAACTAATTACATATACAACAACACAATTACTAAATACTTACGGATTTATAACTACTAAAACCAACACCAACAGAAATAATAAACATAAAAGTAAATCAACAGCTCTCAGAAGTACGAAATAGCCAAAAACAGAACGACACTTACACCTCACATCATCCAATCTCATTTAAATATTAGTTAAACTTATATCCAATATTTTATGCTGAACTTGTGGGTGACAATTATCACATTAAATAAATCG